GTCTAAGAACTACGGTGGTAAGGGGTTCACCACTTAAGGGCATGGAATGACTAAAATAAAGCTAATCAAAAACTTTCTTTAAAAAATGCAAAACCACTAGAGTTTTACTTTCATATATTTTCAAAAGTAAATACGGTAGATGTTTTCTAAATAAATATTCAATAAAACATTTTTTTTTTATTAAATCATTATACATTTAATATAAGTTTGAAACCTAATGAAGGTATAGTAACCACTACAATAGCAAAAGAATTTGCACTTTTTTGACAATCAAAACAAATGGTCAAATAACACAAGGATAAGAATATAAACGGAATCAAGCCCATAAGTTTGACTACAAGTGTAAGTGAACTTGTGTGGAGTCGTTCATTTCGAGTCTGTTCAAAATCACTTGAAGATTCCCATTCTTCTCTGCCCACACTGTTTAAATTTGGACTTTGCGTCAATTTTTCAGCTAGATGGCCTGAGACTACTTTAATGGAATAATTAATTATGGAGCATTATCTAAAAGGCAGGTTGCCAAATGAATTTGTTCATTCATCGCAGGAGTAATCTTCTGTAAATAAATGTAATATCCAGGTCATGAATTAATTGCAGTTATGAATATAGACGACTGAATTTAATTAAAGCTACTGTTTTACATAACACTAATGAGTTCATAAATCTACTTGTTTTTGGGGTTTTTTAGAATCTATATTATACAGGAGAGGGAGAATTACGTAAGTGTACTGTAATGAGGGATTTTAAGTCCAGATGCCTTGATCCAAACCATCCATGTTTGCTTGAACAATATTTATTAAGAAACCAGGATTAATTATTAACAATATCAATATCTATTAATTAATTTTAATGTATTTAGTCAATGTCATTAGTAAAGATGATGGTTGTGATTTTTAACACAACTATCCCTTTATTACCAGTGCTCGATGTCTTAAAATAGCGATTCCAGCACCCAATCAAGTGTCTATCAAGTTTTACAACTCATCTACAAAATGTGAATTCCCTTCATAAACAACAGAACTATATCACATCAAAAATTAGTTTTTAAAATAGCCTATACAGCATCAATAGTTATTTTTTTTTTATTTGTTCTTGAAAAAAAAAGTCCTACTGATTATCATAGCACCGTACCAAAACCAAAACCTTAAACAAAATATTTTAAGTTACCTTGCTTCGGCAAGAGATCCTTGTTTTTAGTAGTACACTACTATATATTTTCGGACTACTTTATAGTCCATTATCAGGTGACAAAAACATCTCGTCATCTTCATCTATCCAAATTTGGCTAGATCCATCGACATTGAGAACACACAAGACACAAACATACCGCGAAAATACATGTCACCCATAAGAGCACTGGCCAGTTTTTACAGCATTTAGACACGTTTTTTGTATTTTTGTCATGTATTTCTATCGTGTCATGTGTTCAAGATGACTAGACGTTTTTGTCATACTAAAAACATCACTTGATGAAGCCAGGTAACTTAAACCATTTAAATTTAGTAATCCGGAGGCTACTACACCATGAAAATACCATAGTTACTTGCTACATAAGTAAGTTATACATTATGGAATCTTAGTAGACTAAAAAAAAGAGTACCACCTTAAGGACAAAAGGCCAAGGCCTTGTGGTCAGTATATTTTAAGCACTTTGTAATATGTAGTTATATGTACAGTAGAGTCCCGCAAACTCGGCACTCGATAACCCGGCAGTCTGGATAACTCGGCCATCACCTGGCTCAGAAAATTTGTGATTTTTTGAGTCCGAGTTAAAAATGGACTCAAGCCAGCGCAGAAAAATCATTCGCAACTCATACCAAGGATTTGTTGTACTAAATCTGATGACTTAATACTGACTTGTAATAAAAATATTAATATAAAAGGCAGTTAAAAAGCTTAAAAATTATATTGTTCTTATTTTTAACCCTAGTTCCTGATAACCCGGCATTTCACAAACTCGGCACCCTTCCAGTCCACATTACGCCGAGTTTGCGGGACTCTACTGTATTTATAGCCTATTTGACTCTATTTAATACATGTTATTTTATGTATAATGAATAAAGAATGATTTTATAAGTGATTTCAATAATTAGCAAGTAATATGAGAACATTGATCTTGATTTTCAAGTGATTAGTGATCAGAAACAACTCGATAAATATTGATTTAAGAAGCAGGACAAATTATTAAGGATCTTTCTGGCTTATACTTTTGAATACTGGTGTACACAAATTACACCATCTATTATGAAACAGCTGAAGCCAATTTATCATTCATAGTTGAATGAGCCACTCTTTGAGTGATCAACTAACTGGCTTCTATCTTAGTTTTTTTATACTTCGGTAATTTATGTGGCATGAAATATGATTTTGGTTTAATGTACGTTATCTTTTCAGATTGACTTGGTCTTAAGTCAACATATGCTGTACAAAAGAAATTGATCAGTAATTGGTGACAGGACAGCCTGTCAGTGAATAAACTCAACTACGTACATTTTCTTTGTAAAAATAGTAACAGCTGAAACATGGGTATAGGATTTTCACTACCCTTATAGCGAAAATATTAAGGAATTATAACTAGTTCTTAACAATACCATTAACAGTGCATACTAACAATGAATGAAAAAGTTATAAGAAGGGCAATGAATTTGTATTTTACTGGAAATATTTGAATTTTAGATAGTTCCCGCGGTGGCCACTGGTAGACTGTCGCGAGGGCTTGGCCAAGTCAGCTGACTGAGTGAGAGAGAGGGAGACAAAGAATCGGCTTAGAGAGACAGAGAGAGAGAAAGACAGAGTAGCGCGGCTGCCGGGCGAACAATGGTAGCGGCGGCCACGCAAAGCTCATTTCAGCGCCAAAATTTCTAATCTGACTATTCTCCATAAGCATTTTGCTTCTTAAAGGGTTTGTATTCATTGATACTATGTATGTGGATGTCCAGAAAGTAAAGAACGTTTTTGCATAGGTAAATAAAAACAAACTTCATTTACAAATCCACAGTACTTTATTCTTCTTTTCTATTTAATCCCCAATGTTTTCAAGACGCTTGTGTGCTTTGTGACCAGGTTTTCTATTCCGATGTTATATTCATCAGCGAGAGATTTGAGCCATGTTGTCAATGCTTCTTTAAGTTCCTCATCAACAGGTCAAAATCACTTGGTGCTAGGTCAGGGTCAGATGGCCGAAGATAGCCCACTTCAGATGTTGAAGTTCTTGCTGTGTTTGTGTTGAAGCATGCAGGCATTGTCGTGAATGAAAAAGGCTTTAGCCAACGGCATCCCTTGTTCTTGTATTTTGGCACTTTTTTAGCACTTAAAAAGCGTTTTACTTTTACACCCATAACTATACATGTCACATTTGGCAGGATTTCCAATCAGCTTAGCATCGCCATTTTAAAATATTGTAACTACAAGTAGCAACAAAACTCAACTAACTTTGGAGATAGGAATGGGCAGTTGTTGCACACAGAATAGAAGGAATAGGGGATCTGCACTGAGCGCGATGCCCACTCATTCTTTACTTTCTGTACGACCTATAGGTCGATTTATTAAATCCTATTCGTATAACAACTAAAGCAAAAGAAAAGTCAACTTTTTCTCGAGAACCAAGCTGATTTGATTTAACAAGAGTCAAGAATCTATTTTTAAATTTACTGTTGGTGAGTCCACTTCGGAAAGAAAAATGTGACTAATAATAACCAATTGGACTGTTCTGAGGGTAAATATAGCGTCGGTGGAGCTCGTAGGCGTTGACACACGGACATGAGTACATTTGTCTCAAGCGTGCTCTCACTTCTGATTGGGCTATTTCTGGGCCTCAGACTCGTTGATAGGTCTGTCTTTATTTTTAATAGGGGTTTTTCCTTATGCACGGAGTTCAGATATTGCTAGTATGTATTAGTTAATGGTAAAATTTGTGTTATTGCTAATCAATAAATATTGTCTGCTTTTAATTTTTATCATGCGAGATGTCATATTTTCAAACTAAAATGATAGTATATCATGCTTTGTTTTTCTCAAATATGTAGTATAAAAAATGTGGTCTATTCTCACATTTTATTTTATTTAGCGTATCTTCCAACACCTCATTGTGTATACAAGTTTTAAGAAATAATAATAGATCTCTTATTTCACTTTTTTGTGGAAAAGATTATGAAACTAAGATGTGAATTTTAGCAATTGAGGTATTTAGGTATTGAGGTATCAAGTATTTAGGATTTTGTATGATGATCAACCTTTGCATAATGTGAGTATATATATAATACCGGTAATAAAATATAATATCATATTTTGAGAGTTGGCATTGCAAAATAAATATTGAAATATGTTAAGGCAAAGACAACCCATTTGAAGATTTGTCCCAAACGAGATTTTGGGTCAAAATCCTTACATGCACAGATTAAATCCTAAACTCTAATACGAGCTATGTCTGTTTGTTTGTCTGTCTGTCTGCCTGTAATATATATCTCAAAATCCAGCGGAAGGATTTTTTAATTTGTGACTTATAGCCCTAAAAACGTGATTAGTGACAGCCACTACCTCAGGAAAATTTGTATTTCGCTACACAACTCATTTGAATTTAAAAAAATTTAACATGGGTCCCCAAGTAACTATGTTGGTTGAACAAAAAAAAAACAAGGAAAAAATAAACAAAAGACTTGTCACATGTGTTTACAGCAAGCCATCCAGTGTACTAGGAACTTAAAAAATACAGTACAAAGGGGAACACATCAGTTGTAACTATTAAGCAGAGATTAAACTGAAGATTACTCGATATAGGAGAAAATAGTTCCAATCATATACTGATTATTTTACTTAGCCCTCTCCCACCAAAACATAATCCCTGAAGTACTGTCAGCGATCAAATGTCTATGGTTTATAATAAAAATGTTTTTGTAAATTATAAAATTTCTACAATATTGGTTTTACAATTAAACTCAATTAACCACAACCGAGCAAGGCTCTGTCCCCCGGTACTATGTTGAAAACAAAAAAAACCCTACCTCTTTAGATGGATCCTCATTTTGTGACTCCTCAGCTTTGTCAACTGACACCCCATTTGTCAATCTTTTTTCAGCATCTTCACTGCTTGCACTGCAAAATATCACTAATATCAGTAAAAATCATACAAATAAACTCAGATTAATTCAACAACCAGAATAGTCAATTTTTGCAAAACTAAATAAAAAAACATAAAATATAAGTAATCAAATATAAGTCAACCTTAAGCCTTTTGTTTCCCGTAGTACAAAATAATTCAAAGAGGAATGGCTCCCAGTAAAAAAAAATACGGAACATAGATTGGAAACACAATTTAGTGAAACTCACAAAGACAGCTATGGATTTAACTTGACTAAGAAACTATCTTCATGAAGCACTGGATGACTTTTCCACTTCAATCAAAGCGTTTCTTATAGGATAAACTACCAAAACATTTAGGAACATGATAAACATTAATGTAACACAGAATGAAGGGATACAAAGAAGAGATAATTGGTTGGAAGTAATTTTTGGAATAGTTAATTTTGTAAAGTAATGTTTCTTTGTCTCATTGGAAAAGAGTCTAGACAAACAGCCTGAATAATTGAGGGAGGGTTTATCACTCATTTATAAAACCATTTGGTCAGCATTGCTCAGTGATTATAGGATATTCAGATATCTTGTGAATGACTGATATATATATATATTGTGTTGTGACTGATGATATATTGTCCACCTTCCCTTTGTTCCACTGAGTTTCAAAACACACCATGTACCTCAAGCTTTTAGTTACTTTTTGGTGATGATAGTAAGTGTATCTTAATCAAGGGATATTTGTAGACATTTTCCATTACCATTATTTCAACAACTTTACTTCCAAGGTCTGGAATCTGATTTGATTTCTTCCTTTGGTGAGGAATTAAATAAAACGTAAACAAACCAAGAAAAATCGCAAAATCACTAAATTAAAACCACACAGAAAACTGAGAAAACTGTATAGCAGTTAGTTATAATAAGAAACAAAAAAATCATGAAATAAAACAATTATTAGAACAAATTGAGATTCGACAATCAAAATAGAGAGTCTGCACTAGATGGTTGTTCAAGCAAGTCCCCACCTTCAAAACACATTGAAAAATTTACATAGATAGAAAAGGACTGCAATATTTCCTGATATTAGATGAAGCGTTCAAATTAACCAAGTTTCAACTAACCTCTCTGTCCGACCAGACTCTTCACTCCCTACACTATTGAGGGACTGACAGTTGATCTCCCTGGCTCGCCTCTCCTCGTACTCAGCCCTCGCCTCGTCTTGCACTCTCCTCTTCAACTCAGACACTCGTTTGCGTTCCTCTTCTATCACCAGGCTGCCTGTAATTATTCATACAATGATAAGATGGATTGTTATGAAATTGAATTGGATGACTGAAATTTTTATCAAGTAAGACAAACAATGAAAATGTGTAGAGTGTTTTGATTTTATTATTTGTATAACTTGAGACATTTTGTGCTTGATACATTCATATAGAATACATTCATGTAGCTATCAGATGTCCATCAAACTTGATGGATATCATTTCTTGAAAAAAAAATAAAAACCCTAAATCAATTTGGTTCAATACAGCTTAAAATTTTAGATAACATAGTGATACATTTTAAGCCCGATGATGAAACAAACTGAATCTTTCACTTTTCCTGATTTAAAACTGCATCAATTTATCCCCATAGAAGTGTAATGTATTGAAAAATTAGGGTATCTACAATAACTGTTCTACATAATAAAATGCAAACTATTTCCTAAATTGATGTTAAGGCCTGGGTGAACCCAGGTTGTAGGGGTGTAAGGGCTGGGGTATGATACCTAGGAGCGGCGAGCGACGCCGGCAACCTGTGCTAAATGTAAGTGACAGTTTCCTTAACACTCATGATGGAACCCCCCCCCCCCCCCCCCCGTTATAGGTGTCTGTCGTAGTTCAAGATGGAAAAACTGTGCAGACCCGCAGGACGTATTGCATCTATTTATAGGTTCTGACAATTATATCTAGAAGAAAAACATTGTTTTTACAATTATTGTAGGAGACAATGGGGCTCCAACCGATTAACACGAGAAGGGTGTTTGATGAACACCATCATTTAATTCCGTAGGTTAAGGAAGACAGCAAGAGGTTCTTAGAACACGCAAGGATGTCCATCCCTACTTTTGACTACATAAAATCAAAATCAAAATCTTAATGTTTGCAGAGGAGACCAGCTGTCACCCTCCTCTGTATGTATAGTTCACTGACACCTGGTAGTGACTGAGTTACCTTGTTTAGCCAGGTGCAGCTGCCTGTTCCTCTCTATCTCTTGGAGGGAAGCTATTGTCCGACGGCCCAGGGAGTTGGAAGACATCTCTATTGGAGCTCCAGAGGTAACCCTGGATATCCTCTCAATGTCGTCCTGGCTTTGCTTCTTCTCCTCCTGGAAAATACAAGAAAACTTTGAGTTATTTGGTAACTGAAGGCTGTGGTTTGATAGATGCCTTGCTTAACAGAATCCTAGACTGTGAATCAGAGGCTTGAGTAACTAGTAAGCACAGACTATTTGCTGAGGTTTAAACTCAGTCAGTCGAGCTGTGCTGCGACACAAACGCACAAAACAATGGAGAGCGAACTTAACCTATTTTTTAAGTGTTGTGACTAAAGTGAACTTTCGTAATTAGTGATAATGACAAGCTTATTGAAAAGGTGTCAGGATACAAAATTTTGTGGAAATATAAAGTATAAAAGTTACAATAAAACAATTATAAGAAGTATTATTTGAGCTTAACTTTGATCTAAAAACCAATCATTTGAACGCTCCCTCACTTTTTCTTCTTTGTTACAATTCAGAACACAGCTTACGACTCTTCAGAATTTACTCTCCAAAATGTCAATAATACCATCTAAATGCTCATTCCTCAAATAACTCATTGCAAACCCCTCTTTGCACGACTTGGTCTGCTTACTGTAGTTGGCCACTACATACTTCTCTGTCTAGTGCACGTTAGGGCCAATATAACAACCTTCACCACTCATGTTGACGTCCACCAGTACAACACCAGGCAGCGCCATCAGCTTGATGTACCCAGGGTGCGACTATCTAGGACCCAGGCTAGTTACAGTGTGTCGGCCATAAGCCTGTTCAATAAGCTGCCACGACATATCCAGTTGTTGGACTTGAGAACATTTGAGGCAGTGTTAACCACTTTCATCAAGAGCCGGGTCTATTACGATATCGAGAGTATTTAAGGGATGATTTAAGAAACATGTAGCCTGCCGGACGTATGTAAATAGTTGTAAATATTGTTTTTTTTTTATTAGTAATCGTGTAAAGTGACGCATTGTGGATAAAAGACGAAGAAGGAGGTATTAAGGACAATCTACCAGCTGTTAAATATCTTTTATGGGATCTCATCACTTATTTCCACTACACCCACAATAATAGCAAAATAATGCATATCTTTCACAGTCTTGGAAACCAATGAAATCAATTCTGCTGAGTTCCACCAACAACGACGTCACAGCGTAACTAAGTCGCAGCGCATCTAACGTATCTAGCAAACCCAAGCCTTATGTTGTAAATCAGGTTGTAGCTTGTAACTGTGCAAGGTGTTGGGAAAACCTTTTATATTTTAGTAGACTTTGACTTATTTACTATAGATGATTCCAGCAAGTCTTTGGACAACAAAAAACTACAATCTGGTGATATCTCCACTATTAATTACCTACTAACAACTGAAACACAAACTAACTACATGAGAGAATAAGGTATAAAAGAGGGGTAACTTTGAGCAATAAAATAAATGAATGTTGAGTAGCAACACGTAGAAAAACAAACATCTAGTAAACCTACATTAATTGAATTACAACTTACATGATCCATGAGTGAATGCTTGTTTGGATTTTGCAGCTGCTGATCAATTTCTTTCAGTCGCTTTCTCCCCTGCAACAATGATAGCTTATCATTCATCCAACACTGATAAGCATTGATCAATAAGCGAACACCTGTTATAGGTGTAACAATAGGATTACATTTTGAGCACTAAAACTTTGACTGGATCCGTCTACTATGGATAAGCTACCTTGAAGTTTACATTCCTCATTCAATTGGCATGTTAAAGCTGTAACTATTCTCCGTTCATAAGATTTAGGGGGTTTTAGGGGAATAAATCTATCACCTCCATGTCTTGATCCTATCATTAAAACATAGCTCAACAGCTGAAATTTGTTGAATCGTCAATTAGCTGCAACATACCTTAATCAGAAAAAAGAGGTGGGGGAACTTCCCCTCAAACCGACTAAATATTGTGAACAGACTATAGTATTAGAATAAAATACTAAAATACACTCCATTAAATTTACAACAGCTAGTCTTTACAGATGGGATGATTAAATTTATATTTTTTGAGTAACCTCTAACCTGATAATTGAATAAATTAAGACAAAATTATCCTGTAATCCACACTAGTGTACAAGTGTTTATACTGTATGCATAACTTAAACTAAAGTGCAACCATAAAATAAGCTGACACTACACATAAACAACAGGATTCAGCAATACTTAATGACTTGACTTGTGTGAGTTCATCAACAGGAGGGGTTTATTCTGTTTAGTTGGCTAATTAGATCATTGCATTATACCAGGAAAACAATAATGCAATTGTATCATTAAAATGGATTATGCACACATATACATAAATTACTAACTAATTTTCAGTAACAGAGTGCACATAATACTGTGTTAACTTTTGTTGGCATGATTTTTAATACTATGAATTGAAATTTTACTATTTTATTATTTCAGTAGGGCCTATATTTAAAATTCCTTTTGTTTTCCTTACAGAGAGGAAGCTAGTACCGTAGTTGTAGCTTTGTTACTTAGCCAGAACCATTTATTAAAAGCCAGGCAATCAATGATAGCTGGTTCCAGTTTCGAAATGTCAACATGCTGTTAACCTTTCTCAGGATCGAATCGGCAAACTTTTGATTACTAGGCAAGAACTATAACAACTCAGCTACCCAACTATACACGATGGCATAAAAGTCCCGTGACAGTTAAATATTTTTAAAAATTAAAAAGATAGAGCTACAAAACTTGGAGAGTTACTAGACATGAAAACTGAAAACCATTTGAAAAAAATATTCAGTAATACGTTATCTTTTCAGGGGGAGGTATGCTATTTCTAGGAGTCAAAAGAAAATCATTAATGTAAACATCGGTTGATATGTGGGCAAATGCACAAGAATATTTAAAATCAAAACACTCATAGCTAGAGGGCAAAAAGTGGCGAACGGATAGTCAGAGATATGGAAAGTAATTAGTTGTTATGATCCATTCTACAATTTCGTCTATGAGACTCACATGATCAATTTTGTGGATGAGTTCCACCAGCTGTGTTTCCAGAGATTTTGTGTTCTGGCTTGCGTTTCTGACTGCTTCATCCCTTTGTTTCTGTAAACTGAACAGAACACACACGTTAGTCGTAAGCGTAAGACAGCCAGGCACTGTGTAGTTTTTACAACAGCATTTATTGTTAAGGAATGCTGGAATCTGCCAATAGTCTGAGTCAACTGCCACTCTGCTAATCAATAATCCTTGCGATTAAGCTGCAAGAATGTTTTAATTTTACTTACATGTCCTGAAAGTTTGTCCTACTCTATCTAAATCTAAATGTTACCTGTAGAGGTTAATTACTGGGAATGGGTCAGTTTAATTGAGTTAGGATCAGCAGGCTTCCTTTTTTAGAACAAAAATACAAATATTCAATAGCATGGACCTCTTCGGCAAGAGTTTTGCAAGGTTTAGATGAAACATAATATTTGACAAAAATCCAACCAGTACTTCTATTTAGTTTGCCTACCCTCTCCTATAGCTTCAGGGGTGATTTGAAAACTACTGGTGTTAAATGTTATAAGTAAGTACTAATAAGGGAAATAGCCTCAGAGCTATTTCATAAATGTCACAATCGTCATCACTTAAATTCTCAAATCTATGCTATTACCAGCTTTACTGAAAACTGATGTAGTTAAGAAACATATTTTCCACAATCAATACCTGATAACATTACTCTGATTAGTTCAAAAGTTGGATTTAGCACTTAAATCTCATTTTTAGCTCTGACTAACATAATTTTGAGTTTTTAGAAACCTGGATATAATAGGTATTCAACTTTTCCAAAAACCAAACTACTGTTCAGTTCTACGATTCTGTTCTACACACCTGTGCAGCTTATCTCTCCTCTCGGCACATCGTGTCATTGCATCGCTGACCTCACGTTGTAGTTCCTCTCTCCGGGACAACCACACTGCTTCTTCCTCTAGCAGAGTAAACTCCAGGTCCTCGAATGACTAAAACACAAGTACATCATGTGGGTCAACCATTTCTGAAAACATTCTCGATAAGACTCGTACCTTCTATTTATGCATTATTTAATACTAGAAATGAGTTCAAGAGAAAGCTAAACTGCACTCTGAGCCAGATTTTGACTGACCCCAAACTTCTGGAGACTGACCACCCATGTTTATGAGAGACAGCGTACAGTCGGCATTACCTGATGTTGGATTCATGTAGATGTAAGTAAGTATAAAGTATTTGAACTTAATGATGTAACATTTAGTACAAAGGCCTACGTTTTAAAGTTGGAAATTGGAATGGCAGGTTTACCTGAATGGAAAAAAGTACATCATGGCACGAGAGGACAAAAACTTTACGCTTACACTTGTAACTTTAAGAGTGAAATATTCTACTAATTATTGTGTACATTGTGTAAAGTGATATTTCTAGTACCAGGACGACTCTGTTATCCTGAAATGCCTGGTATTCCTAAAAAAATTTGTAAAATTCAAATGGGCTTACACATTTAGCTTATTCAGGATCAATTATTAAAGTGTCACTATACTCGTCAGAATTAATATTATTGTTAATGTTGTGTAGGTTGTTAAATACCACATACAAGGAAAGAAAGCCTGACTAGGACCAAGGGCTCTAACAACTTAGAGGATCTTATAGATTGTAACAATTTGGTGATACGTTTATCTTACAATAAAACTAAACTTTTTGGAAAATTGTACAGTAGTTAAGATCAGTTCACAGTAGGGAATGAACTATATGCTGTGCCGATTTAGTTACCTTTCGTTCAGCTTCTAGTAATTCTTGTTGTTGTTTGCAGGATTCAAACAACTCTTCTCTCAGCTCAGAGTCATCAGTTGATTTCATCATCTGTTGCTCTAGTCTGTTGTAAGATAATGATATTTGATTAGGATTATTTTGTTTATAAAACTGCGTAGCCTAACACATTATTTTAAATGGAAGATGAACTTTGAATTAAAAAGTAAATCCTTCAAAGCAACATTGAATAAATTGTATTGCCAAGGACTTGCTATAATCAGTGACATCATAAACCACACAGTAAATAGCAAAATATCCCTCTTCATATTTCATGACGTTTGAACCAACAGTGTGGTATTGACAAATTAAAAGCATTTGACAAATGAAAACATTGCGCTTATTCTTTTTTCCTCCAAAAAGATCAGTCAATCTTTACTTTTATAAACCCTACTGCAAAACTTTGAAAGCCTGGGAGACAGAGATGTAAGGAATCTTATGGTCAGTGTTAAGACAGAGTTGAAACCCCCAGGACGATGGATGTTTGGGTAATCCATATAGGACAAACATAGTGATATTTCATATCACATACTATTTGGGTGCAGACCATCTAGAGCATCTGTTTAAAAATTTTCCCCCCTTTCGAAAAAACAAACACAAGGTTACTAACAGTTACGTCTCAATACTCACGTAGCCAGTAGTTGTTGCTGCTGCTCCAGTCTGTGTCTAGCCTGACCTTGCCTCTCACTCTGATGAGCCACACACTTCTCCATCTGCCGCTCACAGTCCTCCACTCGCCGCTTGAGTGACCCTACTTTACGCTCTTCTGCGCTCAACTTGTCATTCTGAGCCTGAAGCTCCCCACCAAGCAGGGCACGCTCGATCTCCAGCTGTGAGCGTAAAGATCAGTTGGTTCACTCAAAAGAAAAGTCTGAAGTACGAGGGCTGTTTGTAAATCAAGTATGGAAGAGAGCTGATGAACCAGCTTGCTTAGTTGCGACTGGAGTTTACAGATAACCATTGTAGTTTCCAAATGCTCAAAACATGATCAGGTTGTTCTTTGAGTATTCATATAGGGAGGATCAGCCACAACTGTAGTAATAATACACTTGAGTCCTAAACAACTGTGCTTTTTTTCTGTTTTTAGGTTCACAGAAGCCAATAACACTATTTGTTCAAATTGTTACAAATATTTGCGTTCATATGAAAGACTTTGATCAAACAAGTGGAGTGATATATTTTTGAATGAGTTTGCAGAGTAGCCTAATCTGATCATGAGAAGGGGTTTTGTACTAAAAAAATATATTTTCAAGCTTTTGTACAGATTTGAAAATATTTTAATAAAAGTTTTAAAATATTGTTTTAAAATAAATTTCATGTTGAAAAGACGACCATTTAAAATATCTACTTTATTATTCTTTGCCTATAGGTTACAAAGCCATAGAGATATAAAATTTCCTTTTATTTTGAATCTGTTTTTAATATTCAACAATGTAACTGAAAACTCACTTAGCGTACGTTTGATGCAACAGGGCAATTGATCATTAATTATAGTATAAGTGACTTACTGACCAGCAATAAACAAGACACAACTTCATAAACTATCAAGAAAATATGACAATATACTCACTTCTCTCATGAGTTCATCTTCCTGTTGTTCTATCTCCATCACTTTAGCCTTGAGTGTTGTCAGATTAGCGACCAGTTGTGTTCTCTCGGCTCTCAGTGAGGCAAGAATCTCCGAAGACTCTGGTAGAGGCATGGTGAACTTTCCACTGTCCCTGCTGTCCCTGATCCTGCTGTCCCTGTTCTCTCCTATCCCACTGTCTCTAGCCGCTGTTTCCGCTATACCGCTGTCCCTCTCGCTCGACTTAGGACTAGGTGTCAATTTCTCTCGTTCCTCCGTCTCCTCACAACTCTTCATACTCTCCTGTACTATCGCGTCCAACTGCATCAACAGCTGTTCTGCAGTACACTCTCCGTTCTTGTGTTCTTGCCGCTTAATTGTATCCCCATTACAGTTGGCGATCAGATCTGCAGTGCTCCAAGAGGAATTATCTTTGTCTTTCAACGTTGATTCCTCCTCGGACTTCAAACTGTCTCGGGTCCTACTTGTTTCGCTCATCAACGACTCGTCGCTTTTTTTAAAGCTTTGGTAACTTTGAGTTACTTCCTTACCCGTCCTGGGATTGAATCCCAGAAATTCGTATTTCGATAACGCATTAGCCTCCGCGATGGAATAGGGTTTGTAAGGTCTGTTGTTGTTTTCGTTGACTTTGTTGTTGTAGAAGTCAAAATTGAAATTATTTGGTGAGTTGACTCTTTGTTCATTGGGTGACGTTGGTTGCGTTCTATTCTCTCTGATTTGAGGGGATGTGAGGGCGTTCCTCGAACTGTTACGAGGAGGAGGAGGTGGTCCTAGGGTTTCGTAGTCGTTAAGGATCGCTAGTCGGTTTTCTATTATCTCCAAGGCATATTCTCGACTGAAATAAAAATTACAACAATCAGAACAAAGAAATAAAAAATTAACTTTTAACAAGAGTACCATAATAACATTTGTAATCTGTTTTTATTACGTTATCACAAATATGCTTTGATCAAGTGCAACTTTTTTGAAACACTGTTTTGGGACAGTTTTAAGCCACAAAACTGATTTAAGTCAATTTCATATTCCTGCAACCAGGATTGTAACGAGATGTCTTACAGTTGCTGCAACATGCTTTGGTTTGTGGAGGCCAATGTCATTTAGGATATTCATGAAAACTTCATATCGTCCATTATGAATTTAAACTTTTAATGAGACACTTTGTGTTAATGATGTTTACCTCATGTCCTTGGCTGCGATGGTGCGGATGCGTGTGCGAGGACTGGATGGAGGATGAACATCAGGGCTATGTTTAAACTCTCCTTCTAGATTTGTATTCCGAAAATCAGAATTTGTTGGTGTGGATTCACTAGAAAAGATATAAAATTCATAACCTTTAATCAATCTTGTATTTTGTAAATACAGTGTTTCTTACTCATTTTCAACTGGATTTTGTATGACTTACTTGGTGCTGAGCTACCTCTGTTCCAACAATTACATTGACTTTTAAAGTTAATTCAATGCTCATACACAAGTAACAGTTACTTCCAGGTTAAGTAAGAAAAACTTACAGTGTTTATATACCCATATTCACCATGCATGCAAGCTGAAACAGCCATAATACTAAAACTAAATGTAAATTATTATAACATAACACTGAATAATATAATATTTATTACTGGTATTACAACAGTGTACAAGTATTACTTACCATGTTTTAAAAAATACCTTCTTTCGTGACAATATAACAGACATGTAGGTAGGTAGCCTCTAACACTTTTTGATGAGTTTTGTTAACCTTAGCTCAGAGTGGCAAAATGCCGTAAAAGGGTAAAATTGTGTTAACATGCAGCACTGACTACTATAACAACCAAAAATAATTTACAAAAATGGCATAGCCTGGAGGTAACATCCATAAGGTGAGCATTGGAGGACTAGATGGATTTCAGCTAATTAAAATATTTATTTTCTGCAAATTCACTATTTAACAAGGACTAAAATAGTTTTGTGTGTTTTTAGAACATGACAGAAAACAATTTCAAATTAATAATAACTTACTTGTCATAGGTAAAACTCTGATGAAAGTGGGGTGAGCTAGGTGAGGGCAGTCTTTTGTCTCTGGGTAAAGAACCGTTGGTTATTATTCTGGAAAATATACAACGTATAGTAGCCTCTAGTGGTATCAAGATAGAAAAAGTTAACGTAATGCTAAACAATATGGTGTTAAACGTAATACTTTATGTATGTATCTTACAAAAAAGATACAGAATTGTATGTAAGTGCTACTAAACAATAAACATTCTCACTAGGAGGAAAGAACTAAGTGAGGCCCCTAACACAGAAGTGAGGAAAGATTATTCTAAAACAGAACTTGTGAACTATTGTAATAAAACTACTTAATACAAGTCGGTTAACATGAAGATGACAATTGTCAGACCTTTAATTAATCTCAGATCAAAGGGTGAGCCTTAAAAAAAGGTCTAATCTAACAAAAAGGTTGACGTTGGATGGTAACGAGACCTGGGTTTGGACCGTTCCCTATCAAAATTTAGTTTAAAAAATTCCATTGGTGTGAATAACACAAAAAAATAGTTTTACCCTGAACATAACAGATATACCAAAAAGCTTTTAGAATTTGAATGAAAGAAGTAAATTTTGGAATTTTAAACCTCAAATTAGTCACCAATAAAACTGACAAACAAACTGTATTCTGAAATAAATTTTAAAACTATACATTAAGTAATTAAAACTGTTTGGACAGTTTATTTGTTTTAAATGTCACGGGTTTTTTTATTGAATCTCTTAAGTAGAAGTCAATAACGTCAAAAGCACCTTCAGAGAACAAAAGGAAATAATTCTGTTTTGGTAAAATCCATGAGATTTTATTTATAAATATATATTTTTAGTAGTACACAAATCTTATACCATAGGCCTCATACTTTCGCATAAACTCGTATATTAACCTACATCATATAGCATTTCCTTAAAAGTCTGAAAATTAATTTAAATAGAAAAAGGTTTTTGGCCTTTATAGGCTATACTCCAAAAACGAAAACAAAAATTATTTTAACCACTCCTCTTACAACAGAAAATCCGTTAAAAAATTAACCTGTAACATACACACTGGAAGCTCATTGAGGGGATTTATTATTGAGGGGAGATCAATTATCAGGTGATAGATTTGTTTGACATTGTTTACCCACCTGTTCTGTTGAGGTTTGTTCTGTTTATCGCACTGTGCCTGTTTCTCGTAGTCGGCACACATCAGCAATATCTCGTCTAGTCGTTGTCTTTCCAATCTCTCAGCTTCTTGTTCCACCATCCGCTCAGTTTCTGCCTGAGAACAAAGACAACAGGTTGGCAAACTTTGTAAGTGATTCACAGGATGCAACATAAAGCAAAAGGGCCTTGGTTTTAGGTATATTTGTTGGGATAACAGATTTAACTGAATGGAAAAGAGTTCACTCCGGCACAAGAAACAATTAATACTTAAAACTATTCACAAAAGTTGGAATATTTCACTGCAATTGTCGGCATTTTCAACCAAGAAGGCTATAAAGAAATAAAACAGCTATTCTTGTTTGATTTCTAGGAAACTCTGGATCTACTGCTTAAGGTAGGCTCCAAACCACTTGGCAGACTTTAAACCAAAGCCTCCACTATATAAGTTCACATGCATCAAACATTTGATCTGCAAAACCCTGAATTCCACTGATCCTTTGGACAGCCATAATGGTAGTTAATAACCAATTAGTGTGATGAATACAAAAACCAGATTAATTTAGAATCAAGAAGTCTATCCGTAGAAGTCTTGGCCCTACATCCATCCAATCGTGACACATCACTCCTCATACCAATGTTACGTTTTTATTCATATTTTACTTGATTTTACTGTAATGTTTTATCATTTCATTGTTCAGTGTTCGTGTGTCAATGTACTATATGTGAATCACCGACCTAATGAAGTGATCATCCTTTTACGCCTGAAGATGACTTCTTGAAAATCAAAACTAGTTGCAGCATTAGCAACATTTTGAATTACATCTAAGCTAGTGCTAACCCCGAGGCTAACATAAAAATGAACCTACCTGTTTCCTCCTCAACTCCGACTCTCCATTGATATCGTCACTGCTCCAGCTGTTTGGCACAGGACTGGAGACTGACTTGCGGAATGGGTAGGAGGGGTTGCGGTCAAACGCAGGGCTGGGGGTATTGAAGGATCTGGGGGAGAGGGGTTTAGATGGTGAGGGGGGAGGGGGAGAGGGGGAATGGACTCTTCTCCCACTCGGAGAGTCCACTCTGGGCGCATACTGTCCGTTGGGCAAAGCACACACATTCTGGTAGATGTTGCCATTCTGCAACTTGGGTTCTGACTCTCCGTTCAACCTGAGAGGCAGCAATGTGAGTTTGTTCTGGTTGGCTCGAGGACCGAGGACTAGAGCTGCAGGGGAGTTAACCGTTGAACTTCCAGCAGGAAACACCTGTAAATGGTCATCATTATAGCGTTATAGAGAGTCAACAAGAAGCGGACTCCTGTTAAACATTTTAAATTAACTTTAATATATCTTTCTGATTGATAAAAACTACATATTTGTTGGAAAAGGCAACATTGTCTGTTATCTAAATAAATATTTTAAAGGTAGATATTTTTAAGGTATGTTTAAAGGTTCAATGGTGTATTGGGTGTGTTGCTAGCCTAGTGAGTAGCGTCTCGGACTTCGGTGCGGGAGGGACGGTTTCAATTCCCAACACATCAAAAACATTTAAATGGGTTTGGACCGCATACCTTAAAAGTGTTAAATCTTACATTGACTTTAGTTAAAATGCCACTGGCGTCGGGAAAAAAGGAAGCCCAAATTTTTAAATAATAACTCAATTAGCCTAAGTGAAATTAATAAGAAAAGAAACTAATTAAATAAGAACAGTAAAAACTTGAGGTTTGTATCCAGTGTAAAATTGCAGTCTATCAAATTTTGACAAAATGGTAACTATTTGTATAGGCTACGACCATGATTGGATCTTTAAAATTTTCAATTGAGTAAATAATTTAGTGCAGCATGAAAAATCAATTGTATTTTTTTGTCAGTGTTACAGTTCTTGTATTCAGGTCAGTGAAAGGAGATCCTTTAATACATTTCTTGTAACTATTTTAACACTGACATGTTCCTGCTATTCATTAACTACCTACATATGGCTTCTAGTCAGCTACCACTAAGACCAATCTAGTTAAAAATTTCATGATGAAAAATAAAAGTGTTGACAAAGGTTATCCTTTCACTTAGCTGAATCTAGGAACAATGATGATTACAACAAAATGTAATTTGACCTCTTTTCCTGTTACACTAGATTTGTGTTCACTACTAGAATTAAAAGAGTGTATCTGATGTCTTGTCTATATAAAAATAGTCATCATGTCTGCAATCAACCGTAGAATGTCAATATATCACTAGTATGTAGACTACAAATCCTGTGATTACCTTAGGAGAGATATACTTGGCAAGCTCTTCACTGCTGGCTGATGAAAAACCGTCCCATGACTCCCAAGATCTTCTTGGGACGGCAGGAGGTTTGCCTTCAACCAATGAGGTCGTCATCAAACTGTCTTCTGCACACAAATAAACACAGTGGAGAAGAGTGTGAACAGGACCAATAGAGCGCTTTTAACCCAACCTTTATGAAATTTCCTGTTGCTATATTTCAATTTTGTCAAGGATTAACAAAGATGATTTGCATGATTTGAAGAATGCTTTCAAAAGTAAAAGCCTACTTCACAGAATTGCTTTACTTACCAACCACTGGTTCACACACATTGGTACACAAAAAAATCACTCAAACCATACCTGACCTGATATAGTCCAGCAGGACCAATTAATAAGGAGGCCCAACCATATTTATTGGTAGTGAATGTTTGGTTAACTGAGCTGCTGACAAAACCATCTGTTGGGTGGACTGATGTTTCTAAGTGTCAAACCATTGGTTTCAAACTCAACTAATTACAGATGATGGTCTCTATCAAAATATGTGTTTCAGCTGTTGATGCTAATTACATTAATGAATACTACAAGATAAAGGGTGGTCAATAAATAACGGATTATTTTTAAACATATGTCAATCAGCTGTTCCTCGTACAATTTTCATTGTTGTATTAAACAACAACAAATGCAATGCCATTTTAGTAATCATGGATCGTTGGACAGTTAAAAACCGTGCCTTTTGCATTAAAGCCTATTTTGATTAAAAGAGTGAAGGTAAAACCAGAAGGGGTTTACCTTCAATCAGCTGAAAAAGTCTTTGACAAAACACCAGACGTAATCTAGGGTCATCTTGATTGAGTCTCTGTGCGACAACCAGTTTGTAGGGATGTAAATTTAAATCGTCATGTAAAATACGATGTATCTGGTCCCAGAAACACCTAAAGCAACAGAATGTTTTCTTGTCGATCTTTTTAGACTTTGGAGAACAGATTCCCGAACTCTTGCAATGTTCTCATCTGTACGAGTAGACTGTGACCTCCCCGGATTCTTAAAAACAGGCCCCTTAGTTCTTAAATTAAACACCCACATATAGATAGTATTCTTAGAGTGAGCCGCACCATGACAACGAACGTTGAAATGATTTTGAAATAACTGCTGAGTTACAATCACAGACTCGTTATTTTTTAAATAGGCTTCAATGCAAAAGGCATTGTTTGTACTGTCCAACAATCCATAACTACTCAAATGGCATGACATTTGTTGTTGTTTAATAAAACAATGAAAATTCTACTCGTAATAACAGCTGGTTGACACTTGTTTTAAAATGATCCGTTATTTATCGACACCCCTCTACATACAATTCAGTTTAAATTTTTTAAAGCTGTTTTGTGCTGCGGAAAATGGAGCAAATCATTTATCAGAATGGCAGCTATAGTATTTACAAACTTTCTGACCTGATGATGTCCACAGCAAGAAACATCTGTAGTCAAATTTAACTACAGATGACATGATGTCATAACAGATTTTTTATGACAGAAACACAAATAACATAATCCATTATTAGTTAATTCAGGCAAACTAGATGCCATATCCACCATAGTAATTTGTTATGTTATTCTACCCTTGAGATAAAAATTATTGGTATTTTACCCTCAGAATCCAAGTTTAAATTCTTAACATATAACAATTATGGCACACCCTGTCAGCTCAAAGCTACAAAATATTTTTGTTAAAGATACAAATAAATGTCAAAAAATAGTTTTTACAGAAGTTACTTATCCCGAATGTACAAATATCAATGTTACTTACCAGGATAGAAGCCGAGGGGTAACACGGATATCCGGGGGTTTGACAAGCCACTCTTCATAAGCCTGGCCTCTGCGGGGTGGTTAAACCGCAGATAATTCGATCTGCCCACACACAGCATGCAGCCTGTGTAACATGCCACACCAAACTGTACAAGAAGCATTGCAAATCTGCTCAGGCTTTTTACAGCGGCTCATTATAAAATCTTTACACATAATTCTGTGTCATGAACTTTTCTAGAGCACCTAAGCAAATTCAAAAAAGTGTAGCAAATGAATCACACAAATAAAACTGAGCAAAGCAAGAAGTCTCACCATGGATTAAATAATATTATTTGTAGGTATCTATTACTTTATCCATGGTTTCACTTTTTATCACACCACACATGTAAAACTATGCACAAAACAAATAAAAGCTTGGGTGAGGCTCTTAAGTAAATTCACAGGTAAATCACCAAAGTATTAATCTAAATTTTACCACTTACTACAATTACAATGCTACACTTTTACCAGTAAAACCAAGCAAAAAGTGGATATTGGAACTTTTGCTGATTCTTAAGTAAATCAGATAATATCACCATTCACATAAAACCGAGAACAAATTAAATAAATAGTTGCGGCTCTTCATTCTTTACGTTGGTTTTTCGATAACTTAGTGTTGTGAGAGCTTGGAATTAAAATATATAGGCCTATTTAGTTTATGGAGTTATGATCACTTAAAATTGTATTTACTTGGTATTATAAGTATGTGGAAATAAATTTACTTGGAGTTATGGGATGATCCCTAAGTAAACATAATAGAGAATTTTCTTAAGCTATTGCAGGGCATATTTTAAGGGATTTTCACTGGGCGACAGTGGTGCCGGACTTACCCGGGGATCTGGGGGGAATACCCCCCATCAAAAAGGGGGGTCCTAGGGTTCCCCCTGCAAATTTTTGCATAAATTAAAGTGAAAATCACACATTTCTACGTATATTTTAGTGAATTTTTGATTACATTTGCTTGTAAATACTGTAGTCCATTTAATCTCACTTAATTACGTATTTTAGAACACTGTAACAGGCCAAGGCTTCCTTCACAACCTCTTGGGCCAAAATCATAGTTCAATAATCTAAAATATTTACATAATGTTACTTTCTAAATTCCGATACATTTTAAATGTGAATCATTGAAAAAAAATATGCTGGCACCACCCATAGTCACTGGGCGACAAAATCTCAGCACTGGGCGACACTTGTGTTGCCCAGTTAACATGTTATTATATGCCCTGAGCTATTGCATGGATCAGAAGTATTTCTCTAAATCTTACCTCGCATGATAGATTGCTCAGAAAGTAAATAAAAACATTGTGGAGGCTTAAATATCACGAATCATGAAAAACTTGACTTCAGGTAAACTTGGAACCAGTAGGAACAGTATTTCCACAGCGAGATTTGAACATGAACATTCATGGAACATGTTTCAGTTATCAATAATGCTATAGATAACTCTAACCCTTGACTATTGACAGTTGTTGATATTTCATTCTAATTGTAAGAGTAGAGGTTCAAGTTTAAGTTCCAAAGATTTAATTCTTAGTTTAAAAAGTTGTCCATTTCTCATCTAAACTGTCCAGTTGTTCTAAGTTAACGTTTTAAAGTTCTCATTCTAAGTTGAAAATTGTAAGCCTACTGTAGTTTGTTGGCATAGCTGATTACTAATTTCTGTTGAAAATGCCAATTTTTCAACCATACCAAATTAAAAGAAAAACTTAATGTAAACTCTTAGGGGGAAATGTTCTTTGAAATTTAGTAGCATCTTTAAGGTTACTACAATACACAAAAGCAGAAAATCAAATTTCAACAGCAATGTACCATGAGAAATAGTTAATTTTACTATGTTCTGTTTGAATTAAAAATTAGCTAGAGGTGGTTCAAATAGGTGGAATGTCAAATTCTGTATCCAAAGGTCAATGAGCAATGGTTCTAATTACTTTTCCTGGATAATTTTAAATTATTTATTGCAATAGCATATAAAAATGACTCCTTCAATTCTAAAATACACCAACTAAGCAGTAGTGTAATGCGGGAGTAGCATACCAACAGTTTGAAGGCGCTCAACAATAACCACCTCACACGCAAGTTTACCTACCCTGAGACAATCTGGTTGGCTGGTATATCCTCTGGTTGTCGACAGAAGTCATCTCGGCCACCGGGTGTAGGGTGACTACGCCCCCCTGGGTGTCTATGTAGCAGTGCGTCGCCTCCACCCCTGTCCCTTGGACAACGATGTCCGCCGTGGGGGCAGAGCCCACCGTCGTCCGGCCTGGAACATGGAGGTGAACATCAAGCAGGGAAATACATCTGAACCTCTAGTTGCTTGGTAAACATCTACAAGGTGACATAATTGTTAAACGATTTGTTGAGAAACTAAGGTAACTACGACGATAAGTCGCAAGTTCGGCAGCAACGAAGATACTACGCTTTCACTAATTTACTAATCATAATTTATTTGTTACATTTAGAGCCCGATTGAGACGCACAGGTAGGTGGGGATGGTAAGGTAAATTGACTCCCGAGTGAGTGTAGAAAGAGTACGTAAACCAAGAGATTAACCCCACTACAGTATCCCATTGGAAGATCAGTTAGGAAAAAAATATATGAAATCAACTTTTTTTGTCACGTTTAGTTTCAGTGTGGCAGTAGCAGTAGACTTTGCCTTGTAGAGAAAAATAAAACTATTTCTTGTCTTCTCTTCTGGTAGACTCAAAGATAAAAAATACACCCTAACATTTACCTTAAAATAAAATGAAATTATTTAGCCGACAACACACTTACATATCATGGACATGGAACAAAAAACATGCTTCAAATTGCACATTCAGTTGACAATTTTATTTTAAGGTCCAAAGTCAGACATTTTTTAACCGACTTCCCCACTACCAACAAAAGGAGGAGGTTCTCAATTTGTTTGTGGCGATGTTTTTTTTTTCTATGTATGTTCACCAATTTCTCTGTGATTCTTTTACCGATCAGTGTGGTTCCACCACCAAAATAACCAGGAGAGCTTCTATTTGGTACCTTATATATTATGTTTAAGTATAATATTTGTTTCGGTGAAAAATTCTGAAAACCTTAAATATTCAACAATCATTTTGTTTACATTTGTGCAGATTGTTTACATTTGTGCAGAGAAGGCAATAAATAATAATAACTTTCCTACAGCTGTTAGTTAAAACCATTTAAATGAAGCTACAGACAGTTTCTTCATGAAACAGTTGCTTCATATTGATTAATAAACTATTTCTTGCCATGGGGACTAAATAAGTTACATTGAAAAAATGCATTTTGTTTTGGTGACTATATAAAAGGTATTTCAACGTTTGACTTGATTTGTGTATGATTCTGTTTTGAGTATTGAATGTTCTGACTTATAAAAACATAGTGAATAGCTGTATGATATTGACAATTTAAGGTGTATTGTGAAAACCAAAGCATTCGTAAAAGAGGTCTAAACATAAATTAGATGCAATTATTCCTTAAACGACATAAGAGGTGTGAGATTGCATAATCGTCAATCGTCTTAAAAGTGTTAAATATTTTTATTACTTGATGCACACACATGCATTTGAAGACGTGGACTGTTTATTAATATTCTTCACTGTCTATAATATTATGCCTGCTTCGGAAATGGGAAGCTGATTTGCAATTTCGACTACATCTTGAGCAAACAAAACCACCTACCCCTTACACCACTTTTAGCTGAACCAATCTTTCATACACGTATTTTTCAAAGGTAATATACGTGATAACAACCAATTTTCTACTTTTAAGAGATTTTTAGTGCTGGTGGCTGAGGAATAACTTTCTTATTGTTCCAAAAGGCTTGAGACATTACTGTATTTCGTTTTATAATGTAGAAGTACACCAATTGCAGGAAACGATGTCTGGCATTTCAATGTCTCTAGGAAAGACATTCTTTTTTCATTAGGCCTAATGTAATGGACAACTCTTTGTTTTTTTAAAGGAAAATCCAAAAATGTTAATTTTTATACCCATTGATTATGTAAACTGAACAGGTGACTCAAGCAGTTTAAAAATAATGATTGTTCTGTGGCACTTTTGATTGTTTCAAACAGTTTTGCTTATCAAAAAACTTCAAGTAATTAATATATAACAAATTATACAGTCACTAAAAATCATGAAATAATTTCTTTTTGTAAAAAAATACGACCGACTTCAAAATGCTCTAAAAAGAATGAAATAATTTCAATAAAGTAAACTTTTGTATTAGGCAAGCTCACGTATTTTAAGTCGGCGCGGCTCTATGATGATGAGTGTGTCCATATTGCGGGTGACTATCTATAACTAAAGGTGTTAATCAGCATGTCTTTTTCATAGTTATACGTTAAGTGTTATTTTATTACCGTCATCAGAGATCGGCATTATAGTGGTATTAACGATAGTATCTTTAAAAAGATTATAACGCATTTAAATGTTTCTAACTTGGAACAGTAACGTTTTAATACTAAACTAGCTTCTTTTCCCTATCATAATATCAAACTAAATTATTTTTCTATTCATATAGAACATTTGTGTGTGTTATTTTCATAATGCATTTATTCTGAAGTAAACATAAAATACAAGAAAATATTTCCTTTAATATATAAACAAAACAGTTCAGTATGTTTTTTTATATATTTATGTTATCCAGCTACAATTTATTGATTTTCAAAATACACACACAATATTTAATTTCAATCATATTTGCAGTTTGAGCCGCGCCGACTTGAAATACGTGAGCTTGCCTAATACAAAAGTTTACTTTATTGAAATTATTTCATTCTTTTTAGAGCATTTTGAAGTCGGTCGTATTTTTTTACAAAAATAAATTATATTCCATATGGTGGTCTATGATAGAATGCTAGGTTCCAGCTCGGAATTTGTTTTTTTTAGCTAATCCTAGTGGGCCACGGCATTATCACAAGGATAAAATGCATCTGGTGTTTGGCAGGATTTGAACCCGTAACCTCTGGCTCAAAAGTCAAACCTTATAACCATTTCCATACCAATTGAGAACTGGAGATTTGACGATGAAGTAAGTTTATCCAAGACGCTGGTAGAACCGTGGTGGGCATCGCCGGATGTGATCCACCTCTCATCATAGCTCCATAGCTGTCATTATCAATTACTAGATCGTCAATATCCGCTAATAGTCTCAACACAAACACGCCGCTGGGAACACAACACACCAACACAGCGGGGAAAGCTGAGGAGGATCCCACGCTGAACTGCATTATACGTCCACTCTCGCTGTGTAGAGTTGTGCATAACCGATATTATATCGATGTTTTTCTATCCACATTCAATTTTTTTCTTCGATATTAGGTAAACGATTTTCTTGTTACATCGCTGTTTTCGACAAACATACGTTTTGGACAGCCATTAGTGTTTTCCGTTTGATTTTTTTTTATTGTATGAGTAGTAAATTATTATTTTGTATTTATTCTATTGAAACACTGGTAAAATATCGTAGCCAAGATTCCTTTCCTACTTCAATTTTACCAAGATTATTAATAGTTTACCAAAAATTATGAAATATCAACACCGTGGTTATATACAGTTATTTTAAAAGCTGCCTAGGTTCGATTCATGTATTGTTAAAACTGCAGTGGCAACGCAACTAATTGCTATTAATTATGTCCAATAGTCAATTCTTGCAAACGTGAAACCGCAATCTAAATAGAACGTCTAGGTCAATTATTAACCCGTGGCAATAACTGAACATATGTACAGTATTTCACCTAGTATTAAGGGGCACTGTCATATTCTGTCATATTGCGCTGAAACGAAAACCACGAAAAATCCATAGCATCGAAGTTTTTCGGATGTTGTCGGTACGATGTATTGCAATCAATAATGAAAATTGATGATTGATTCGATGCCCATCCCTACCACTTTGTATGGTCGCCATTTCAATGAAAAAGTATTAAAAGTACACTGAGTGACATGTTTCATACGAACTTCACAGAACAGAATCCGGTAATTTATGTCACGCCAATTACAACACACAATTTTAAACTATGATCGATGCCCGGCCCAACAAAATATTCAATGACGTCACAGCCCATATGTTTCTGTCGTCGGTCTCGAGTTGTCAATGGCTCCATTGTGTTGCATTGAGCAGTGGGCACGCAGGCGGTTGGCGGAGGCGGATGTGCCAAAATTACGTGACTAAACGTAAATTGTCGGCTTCAACTGAACGCTGGCTATTCTGTGAATCCTGTAGCAACTGTGGTTAGGCAAATATTTGACATTCGTAGACAGACATATCATGTGTAGACTAGTCCGCAGCCTATTTGTCTCAACACTATTTCACTACAAGTTATTCTTGACCAGATTTTACAACTTATTTTATGGAATGGCGGGTTTGGCAGAGGATCTTTAATCATTTAATTGAGCCAGCGACTCACATCGATATGCAATTTATCATGCCAAGTATGAATGAATGATGTATACGAAATGCCTTCTCTTTTCAACCAACGAATCATTAGTGAAGATCATTAATAAAAGGCCAATTAACAAACACAGCTGGGTCCTGGAGTCAGTCAAGCTATTCCAAAGCTTACGATGCTCACGATCTACTTAGCAAACTTCAGATCACAGTTTCTGACAAGATTAGAACCAAAGGAAGTTCCAATGGAGACACAAATATGATTAAAGGTGGATTCCCTTTTTCGTCTTGTTAAATATGATAAGTTTTAGCTAAGACAAACCCACCAAGAACCACTATCTTACCCCCGTATTCTTCACATTCCAAAGGTGAAGTTGATGGATGGGTTGAAGGCGAAACAAGGTCGCGATCAAACAGCTGATAACTGATAACAGGTCAAGGTCGTTGACCCCGCTAGACAGGATCGACGCCAGTTCTGTGTTTACCCGACACAGCGCCAAAGGAGCCGGCTGTCGACACGTCGTCTGTTAAATAATAGTTCCGAGTTGATTTCTAGTGTAAACACTCCATGATGAAGGCTTGAGTGCTTCTCATCGAGTGTTTGTTATCCTGATTGCCTTTTATGAGTCAACATTTACAATCGATTGTTACAACCGCGGTTTACGATCGAATTACGGCGACGTAATGTGGTCACTGGGGATTTGAGGCATATACGGTGTTCAAATGTGGCAGTGTGTTGGCTCTTGTAGGGTAATTTTCCCAACATTGCAATCCTCTAATATTATATCATAAGTTTGATAAGTTTACGTGTGGTTTACTTAGAATCACATACACTTTGCAGGTATATACTTGCCAACTTATGTTTTAAAACG